ACAAGTGGAAAAATATTTACACACCACATTTCACTATGGATTCCTAGGATTTATCACGACGCCTTCGCCGCAGTTGGAAATAATGGCCTGATCATACCGAGTCATTGTCAAACAAATGCATTACTCACCACAGTAAACACCACCAATGTGAAACAGTTGGGTATTAGATCCCAACATCTTAATGTTTTCGCAGCTTTTTCATTACCACTTCATCTGAATACTTCATGAAATATTTCTCAGGAAAAAAAAGGAAAACTCCAGAAATATTTGTGCCAGGTTTTTTTCTTGTTTTAGAATTCTAACATGAACATATGGCTGCGCTAACTGCTCGTAATGTCTCTGCTTCATGTGGAAAACAAACTAATAACGACGTTCAGTTCAAGATTTTTAACACAGACGGAAAACATGAGCACAAGGACGACTGGGGAAGATGCCATCGACGATGACTATTTAAGGACATAACGGCGAACATGAGAAAAATCCGTCTGTAACAATGAATTGAGAGCTTATAGAACTACGCGTAGGTAAAATGACGGTTTAGAAAGACATTAACTGAATTTTGAAGTGAAAACAAGCTCGAAATTTAGTACTCTACTAACAGAGCAAAGAACAAATAGGTACCCGTCATGAAACCTGGATTGAAATCCTAAAAATCAAAGGCTAAAAGTTGGATAAATTCAGACATGGAACTCCTTCTCATGCATCTCTACAAAGTGTTTCAGCAACCAAGAGCTACCTCATAAAGTACTTTACTTAGAGATGTTCATAAGTACCAATTATTTCCCAGTAGTAGCAACTATGCAATGAAAAAAGAGTCAGCATAAGATTAAAAATGTGGTCTGTGTTTTATTTTTTCTGAGACAACATCTAACGCTATAAGCCCTGAGGGATTGTATTATAGAACACCACGAAAATATTATGGCGCACTTCATTAGAGCACTATACCATGTGACACTCTCCCTCACTGGGTTGATGAGTCACTGTCGCAGTGAAATTCGACTTACAGTATGGGAAGTTCGAGTTGACTGCATGGCAGGTCACCGATACGCTAAAAACTTGTTGAACATCTCTGAACGGAAAAGTAAACCGCAAGAATTCGCTGCTTTGCTAAAGCAAACTAATTCGCAAGGGGGCTGATTAAACTAGACCAAATTCGAAATCGAGTAAAAAAGATTCGTCTTGAGGACACCTCAAAAACGAAAGTAAAATGTAAAATGACAATGTTACCCTTTTATTCACTGCCTACTTTAATCTTTCAAGGCAAGGTATGATATGAAATACAACCACTATGATGCTGAGATATTTGCAAAACTCGGATCAGAGGCCGTATTCGAACCCGCGATTACCTTTTCCAGGGGGTTATGTGTTCCAAGGAAGCCAGCGCACCACTGAGACCCGTGCTTTGGCTTTCTCTCAGAAATTTCTTTACCTAACGGTGCCAATTTAGCCTGGCTTCGAAGCTTTGTAAATATTTCAGCATCACATTGAAAAAAAAGCTTGCTTAGAATTAAATGATATTACAGTATATCACTTCGTAGTTGAGTAGTTAGACAGCATGTCATCATACATCGCTTGGATTTTAGAATTTCTTCTAATTGTTCCTTTTTCGTGTCTAGAAATATCGCCTATAGTTATGGCCGGGTTTATGTGAGCGTTCGGATACAGCTTACGGATCTTCTGTTCTCTCCTCATTAACACAATGACTGTGACAGAGCGTTGTTTTCAATGGGATCTCAGAATACCTGTGCTCGGACATTGATAAGTTCCAGCGGTGCCGCGTATCCAGGTCGTAGCGCAATAGAGCTGCAGCACTTTTGGATACGAAGATTTGCTCGCTTGCAAATATGATTCGTCCAGACTTCACAATTTTCTCCACTGATTTATTAGAAGTGCTCAGAGACCTTTTTATTCTAACATTCATTAGAAATAGTGTATCGGACATCGACATACCATACCGTTGGCGGAAAGCATGCGTTTAGGTATCAAAACTCGAAACAACGTCCACGTCGGTGTTTCAGTTGTTGGTTTTAGTGTGACTTTTCCTCGAGTCCCACGTAATTGATAAAACACTGGATTTAGCATGAAGTAACTTCATATGTCTAGTCCTCAAGAAATGAAAGTGTTTACGTTAGACATCAAATGACATTGTTTACATCACTAAAGAAGTGATGTAGAGACTCTTGTGTTTTCACTTCTAATCACACAAAGGCCATTACGGACAAACCACAGAGCTTTTATAGCCGTTTATGGGATAGAAAACAGAGTTATCGAGTTTAAAAACACATTTTGAGACAATAACTTAACCGGATAACAGCGGTATCATTGTAGACAATTTCTGTTTTCAGGTTGATGTACATCAATAAGGTCCGCTTTAATCTACGATACCCAATGCCTAATTTATGGAAGCCGCTTAAGAAACCAGCTAGTGGCGTAGACGTATTTAATGAATAGATGGAAGATTTACTACTGTTAAATGCAAGGCATCACAATTAAATGCTGCAAGATAAAAGTGTTCCTTAGCTATCCTCAACTTTGTAGTGTTTCCCTGCCGCCGTTTACTTATTTAGTGGGAAAAACAAGTTAAATGTCAAAGGAACGTTATATTGGACGCCACAAGAGGTTATCAAATGTTCAAAAGGTTATTCCGACCTCAGACGTTCTACACAACATGCAAAGCAGATTTGTACTAAATGAAGAAGGTGTTTAAGTAATAGCGATAAAAGGTGTGCATTTTCGTAGACAGTACACGTTCCGTGTAAAGCTTGTACACTGTATTTGAAATCACAATGCTTAACTTTCTATTTACTGCCTATTAAAAAGATGCTGAGATATTTGCAAAACACCGGACCGCAGGTGTCTGCAGTGGGGAACGAACGCGCTACTGTTCTTCCCGTGGGCTAACGCGTTCACCACCACACCATGCAGTTTCTTAGTTTCGCATGTCTCGCGGCATTTTTTCTATCTAGCAGTACCATCAGCAATCATCTGTCAACGAGAATGATCTGGGGAGCACAAATCGGCATTGAACTCAATTAAGCTGAGGCTGTAGTTGAAATTACAATGGTAACCTTTTAATTGATGCCTACTACAATTTCATTATAGACACAAAAAAAAGTTAGCATTATCCGAACAGCACCTAAATGAATTAAATACCTCAGAACAGCCCTCATAAGAATACCAGTGAACTCACCAAACCTTGTCTATACTCTTTTCGTCCTACTAGGCAGTTACTCCTTCGCAGAAAACTGACGTCTAGCAAACCTGCAATAAATATGCTTAATTAAGCATTAAATGTGCTCGCAAAAAACTATTGACTATGCCTAAAAGTTTCTTCAGACTTCAACGTATTCCATATAATTACTAAAGAAACTAGCTGCGATAGTATGCAATACAAACAAAAGGTCATAAATCGACTATAAAATACAACGGCAAAATAGCCACAGCTTGATTAAAAGTCATCCTCACGAATAAATAAATATTTATTATCATGTGAAAATCATATTAACAAACTCGTATGAAATCAGTGATGTTTGGTAAAACAAAACCAGTGATGAAATACATACAAAATGCCATCCTTAAAAAGCAGTGATAAAACATTCGAACATAGACGAACAATTGGATCTGGGACGTCAAAGCAATTCATCAACCAGAACAAATCGGAATGCGAACAGAAAATGGAGGATGTGTTAAAGTGATAAGATGTTCTAAAACATGCTCTGATTAATAAATTATGCGGATAATACTTGCCGATTCTACTCTAATATTTTAGTGAAAGAAAAGACCTTTTAGCCAAAATAATATGTGTGACCCGGCAAAAGGACGTAACCTTGCAGATGGCTAAATCGAAGTCAGGACTATATATGACAATAAATTACCTACTTGTACAGTCCACTGCAAAAAAAGCTATGATATGCAGTAGTTAATACGACAGCACTTGTGGAAAACATCCTATTCCATTGATAAACTAACAGTCAACGAAGGTAGTTCTACTTAACAAGAGATTTTAAACAACATGTGTTTAAATTGTTGAGCTTACACGAGGTTGATAGGAAGGTTTATCCGGCAAATGTTCCGCCGTCTTCGTCTTCATCAGAGCCGATGGTCCGAGTAGGTGGTCATACGTATTCCTAAGTGGACCATCGACTTTGATGAAGACGAATACGGCGAAACAGCCGAATAAACCCTCCTATGAACTTCGTGTAAGTTCATCAATTTAAACACTTGTTGATTATTTTGCTACCGAGGTTAAATGACGGGCGGTTTAAAGATTTTCAACAATTACAACATACAGTGTAAGGAAAGGATTGTTAATATTTCCAAGGCCTTAATATTGTATGACTAGTAGATGATACAATGTGAAGTAGTCAACAGAGGAGAAATCTTATAAACCTAATAAATAATGCTCTACTAATTGAAAAAGGTAAAAAAAAATAGCATCAGTGATGAAAACGTACCATCAAGATGACCATGAAATTGGAGCTCACATGTGAAACAAGTGGAATCCCATAAGTTTTTGGGTGTCAGCTAGGAGTAAGTGGTTCCAACAAGTACATGATTGTGTGATCCAAATCAAAGTGTGATCAACTTTACAACAGCTAAATGTTATGTCCTTCATCACATCTATAAGTGGACATCGAGAGAGCTGCAAGAAACCGGTTCAGCGCGTTTCCATGTTGAGCCAAAAGGATTCTCATCGTCATAATCCTTCCTGATGCATCACAATTTCAGAAAAAAGAAAACAAATAGTAAGTCATAAACTGCCGTAGTATTTCAAACCGAAACTGAAACATCAGGAAAGTGGAGAGAAAAAATTTGCCGTGTCTGCTTTACAAGATGACAGATAAAGAAAACAAAAGACAAGAGAAAGTTCTGACGAGGATTTCGCTTAAATAACAACTGGAAAGAACGCGAAAAAAGATCACACCAAACAGACGCACCATCCTAAATTCAAATATAATCTTTCGCAGAATCCGACTTATTGAAAGGTAGAAACTCACAAACTACAACTGTAATCGCTCTGCAAGCTCTGGTCGTTTGTCTTTAAATCGTTTAATATGTTGCAACGTCATGGCAAGATGCTTTTCTAGTGCATCTGCTTCCGCACTGACATCAAGCTGGACGGCATTGTCTTTCGAACGAGATAGTAATTCTACGAGCATATCCTCGGTTATCTAGAGATAAGTTTCATAAATATAAGGATATTTCACCATAATCGGAAACCAGCACGCCTCGAAAATGGGCTACACAATGAGATAAGTGGTTCTTAGAGATACTTACTTCTAGACAATTATCTTCGTAGTAATATAGCAGAGTGTCAATTATTTTGATAAAAAGCTGTTGTTGAACAATAGGTTCAAGGCACTGGGACGCTATCTGAAACATACATGACGTTACGTTTACAACAATCAGCTGTCAAGAAGGGGTACAGAATACATTTTTTTAACACTTATTACTTATGTTATTTGCAATATGTGTGGCATTTTCAATATTGTACTGCTAGAAAGAAAGCAGAAAATATTTTTTTAACAGTTAGCGACTGGTTAAGGAAGTAAGTAGTTGGATAGTTGGATAGCCCACCTTCCCTGGTTGTGCACGCCCAGCATAATTTCCAATTTCTCGGAGTTTTCCCGATTCAGCCACTGCGCTTCTCTGGAGTCCCAAGGTCAGCCTAGCTAAAGCCTGTCCCAGGCCGTCACCATCACAGGTAGTCGCCGCCCTTGTGAAGCAGAGGGAGATCTGCCACTACCAGACTAGTTTGATACTAGCATAGTGGGGGATCGTGGTATTGGCTTACTCTAAACTGGGCTTCCTGATGGAAACGCCAGACTTCTTTCGAGCTTGGGAGACTCTGCTGGGGAGATGAATCCCTCTCGCTGTACAACGTAGCCCGACACCTAGGAACACCTGCGAGCCAAGATGAGGCGGCAAACCATCGGGAGGAGTTAAAAAAATTGTAAAAGTAAAAGTAGGTCTTCAAGATTAATACATGTTTTCTAAATAAATTGTTTTATTGCCTTTAAAAATTTGGTGCAATTCGCAAAACGAAACAAAAGTTAACAAAAACAGATAAATACTAAATAACCTAAGAACTCTAACCTTAGTGGCTTTCTTCATCACTTCCACCACCTTTTCACCGTTTCTTACTGGTCCGTTGGATTCGGTAGTCTGTCCTTTCCAATACAATGACACGACTGTACACAGCGTCTGTGTCTGATCGGCCTATTACTGATAAGTAAGAGCTGCGACTTAGAAATGTACGAAATAGCTTCAAGCACTACTGTTAGAAACCAAAAAAATTTTTGCGCTAAAAATCTGAATGGATGGTTTTTATGATAGCTCCAAACAACGAGTGGAAGCTTCAGCGGAGCATCAGATCATTACATTGAGCATACATAGTAGAATGAACCATTTTTTCCATAAGAAGCTTGACATAGACAGAGTTTCAAAATCACGACTTTCGAAAGCAGTAAAAGGACACCTTAGTCACTTTGTTGAACTACTTCCATTCATGCCAACGTAATTCGAAGAAAAAGCGTACCTTTTTGAACACCTTTGCGGAAGCAGCAATAACAATCTGTCCAACTAATGTATCCCAACTTTCTGTTGGCAAATTTCCTATTTCTAACATGGTGCCCGTTATCAAAGACAGTGCATTTATTCGTTCACGGGATTCTGAGAGCTCATCCTCGAAAACGGACATTGCCTAAATAATATATTTCATCAATGCGCAAAAATTTTTCTACCTATATCCATAAGAACAGTAAAACGATAATGGATAAAGTTCTCAGAGTTAACCAAACCCTGAGGGATGTATCATGGACACCACATCATTACGTATCGTAGAGGTGAATGAATATACACCATACCTCTATCATAACTTGCTGACCCCTACTAATGCATCAAGTCAATGCTGCTATCCTCCAAGACAAGTCTAGTACCTAACTGGCGACCTCAAAGGGCCAAAGGCATGATGAGCCATAGGCGTTGGGTTGAACCAACGACCTCGTGTGTATTGCAGCGCACCTCAGGCCACTGCGCTACACGTACCCATAGGAACATAAATAAATGGTTAAGCATAAAGAATTGGATTAAAAGGACTTCATACATCTACTATGAACAGCATTGGGGCTATTCACGCGGATAGACTCCTTCGGCTTTCCATAATTACGATGTCTATATAATCAGTAGCTACCTTCTCTTCTAAAATCTCAACTCGAATGAATCATGTGCAACCTCGACACGGATTTCGAGTTGCAAGGTGTCTGTTTGGTAACACATGTCTATAAGGAAATTGAAGTTCTAATTCTCTAACAATAGTGGCCTCTGCAGTGGACTCAGACAATATCCCAGTACTTAAACATTTGTTAAATTTAGATTCGTCCATTCATGTCACACCTTTTCAAGAAGACATCCCTCCATTTACGTCTGATTTTATTCTACGTATGACTCCTCAAAATTCAGCTTACCACTCACACTCATCGGAACACTAGACGTCTGATTTTTGGAAAGTTAAGTAGGTACCAAAGTCGTACCTTTGATATGAATTCATAGACTACCGAAGAAGAGTCTGACAATGGCACTTTATCAGCAACCATTGCTCCCTAAACAAGACAGCATCAATATAATCATGGACTGCGTGATTCCAACACAATTGCTAGCTGCAAGTAAACGAAAGAAAGCAACCACCTCTAAGTACAGCTTTAGTGGTAATTCAGACATCTCTGCCGTTGTGATCAAAGCACCGATTGTTCCCATCGCACACATAAACATCTTACGAATTTTTGCTTCCCAGTTTTCCTTTGAAAGAAAAGAAGCTATGAGGATCGAACACAGTAGTCGAATATTAGAGCAATTACCTCATCCTTAAGATGCACAAACCGCAGAATCAGCTTGTACAGTTCGAATACAATAGGAGCGAGGGTGTATTTAATTCGAATCTTTCCACCAGCACCAAGAATCTTTCTAGCATTGTTTAGCAGCTGCAAAAGCCTTATATTTTCTTCCCTTGGGAAAAAAGGATAAAAATTCACACAGTCCTTTTCATGGACGAATACACTCTTATTTCTTTCTCTCCCCCTAACGCTAGCGCACCGCAGAACAAAAAATGTCATTAGATATTGAACGTGTTGCAAATACGGAGCTCAATCCATGTAGAGCGACCCAAGTTAAAATCAAGGAAGTCCAGTTGAAAGCAAATGAATGCTACAAACTGCCACTCTTTGACAGAATCCTGGTCCCAATGCGACAAATCTCGAGCTTACAGGATCTACAATGACCAGAAAAGTTTACGATTTGAACTAATAAACAAGAATGGAAAATCGTTATATTACAATTCCTAAGTCACAAGAATCACTTTTGAAAACATGAAATTCACCAAAAATTGCTCATCTGGTGTGTCAGCCTGTATGAGATGAACAAGACGGGCCACTAGATGCTGCTCATCCTCAAAATCTTCAGTTTCCTAAATGTTGGTTCTCTACGTTTTGTTTCCTTAGGAAATATTTAGTACTGCGTTGTTGAACAAACCGAGGCATTCACAGGTTGATCCGGTTGATCTACCAGAACTGAATGCAAGACCGCACACATCACAGCAACATCGCCTTCAGTTCTCATAAAAGTTTCGTTCTCCAGCATGTTCTAAAAAATCTAAGCTTATACAAAGGCCAAGATTACATAGAAAATATATCACTCAAGAACACTAAAAACATTGATGACCAGAAACATACGAAGGATAAAGAAGAATAAAGCTCTCGGCGTTGATCAATCCTGAGGGGCGCCATGCATTCAACTTCATTGAGTATCGTTAGAGGTAACTGAATGCACTGGCCTTTACAAAGACTTGCGGTGGCCTACCGATGTATCGACCTAGTGTTGCTATCCTCCCAGACAAGTCTGATACCAATTTGCCGACCCCTGGGTATGGAGGGCTTGGTGAGCCTGTTGCGAGGGGATCGATCCCTTGTATATTGCAGGGCGCATTCGACCACTGCGCTACAAGCGCCCCGACAAGAAATACGTGCACACACTCATGTATAGAAGCTTACTAAAAATTGTAGTCCAAGAATAGATACTTTTAAGATGATTCGTGGTTCAAATGGTTCAAACAACTTCTCCAAAATGGTGCTATGCTATAGTCTAGCTGACAATTTCGATTCTAAGAGGGCTGAGAAATACCTGAATGATGTACGAAGACGCGAGACAACGTCCGTGATATTTGAAGCACTCCATAACGGGGACAAACTCCGTGAGTTCGGCAACTTTCAGAGCATTATTGTGCGCGTCAACGGGCAATCGTATAAGCTTCATTAACTCACGACCAACGGCATCGAAAGGTTCAACGCTGAAAGTATCAGCATCAAGTTAAACTAGCTCGAAAGGTTCGACGCTAAACGTATGTGCCCAACTCACGCAGTCTTTTTCCTCTCCTCTAATATACATTTTAAGCTTCCGAACGTAGTATTCGCAAATTCTGGACGATCTCGATAACACTTTATTGCCAGATTAACAATAGCAGCCTTGAATTCCAGATTACTGCATAGAGTTTAGAAAGTGAAAAGCTTAAAGTAAAAGCAAATTGATCCTACATAAAGGGAAACGATATCCTCTGTAGACATATCAGTGTGATTTTTCACAAGGTTCTTTGCTTGCTCCGAGAAAATATCGAACAGCTGAATCTGCAATGAGAATTTCCACTCAGACCAGAAATAAAACAGTGGCAACTTGAAAGGAATACTATACCTCAGCAGGTATTCCTCTTCCTTCAGGATTCGCGGAGAAGATTGCTAATCTCTCTATTAATGCAATGAGAATATTTTTAACATTCACCTCCTTAATGAAAATTTGATATCGTTGAAAGGATATAAGTACTAGCTCTTCAGCACTTACTGGTACTAGGTCACCACAAGCTTGCAAGAATTCATTCAATGTTGCTAAGTGAAAATCGTCTCCAAATACTTGAATAACGCATTCCATCAAGTATTCCTAAAACAGAAATATAAGTATAAAAAGGAGAAAGAAGACCCGTTGAAAGGAAAGGAGTTCGCCTTGGATAGAACTGCATAAAGACACAAGTTTCAGAAATATAGGACTTCTCCGTATTTAGGACCAAACAATACATAGCAATTTTTGAAAAGTACACATAACGAAACCTAGGAAATAAACGTGGTTTGGCCAGAAGAAAAAGCATATAAATTTGAGAATACCTGAGAGATGCGATCGCGACATGAGACGACTTGCTCTAGAATACTTGGCAGTACCTCCTTCACATACATTTCTTCTGTTAAATTTTCAAGTTGCGATAATCGTACAAGATTCGTGCCGACAAGGATGCTATAAGAACAAAGAGTAAGACTAAACTTACATTATGGCATACTTTTAAAAGCTCCAGCTAATCCTAAGGCACAAAGGAATCTAATTTACTAGGAGCTTTAGATTGTTCGACATTACTAGGATATTTGGATGAGTCTTTTTCACCGGTGGTGCGGGCTCCAGCATAAACTCCATTTTTTCGGAGTTTTGCTAATTTAGCCATCATGGTTCGCTGGAGCCCCGATGTCAGCCAGAGCAAAGTCTATCCCAGATCGTCACCACCACACGCAACCGCCGCCTTTGTGGATAAGAGAGAGAGTTGCCACCATGCGACTAGTTTGATACCAAGACGGTGGTGGATTTTGGTATTGGTTCACCCTTAGCTGGGCTTCCTAGTGGAAACGCCGGACTCCTTTCCAGCCTAGGAGACTCTGCCGGTGGGATGAACCCCCCAGCTGTATATCAAAACCTGACACCTAGAAAGACCCCCCAGCCACGATGAGGCAGTAAATTGTTGGCAAGTTATTCAACGTTGGTACATAGAATATTGTTAGACAAGCAGTTCGCGTAGAATAAGACCGATGAATGTATCTCGATAGCAGACTTTTAATTATTCGGAAGGAGTGTTCAAACTGGTGTAACAATGAAGACATCTGCAGCATGGAAGTTTACGGAAAAAGAAAGGACAAATGAAGGAATCTCAAAGTCTGAACTTAAAGTCCTGTGCTGGCTTTTTGACAACTGCCGGCAGACTTCTTATTATTGTCATTGATAACCTTATACGTTCTTAGAAAAGATTTAGATCATGGTCGACCAGTAAATTGACACCGGCATAGGAATTGCGCTGGGACGTGCACGAATTTTTGATGATATTGGTCATCTACCTATTCAGGTGAGCAATAAACAGGAAAATTAACTCACCGCAGTTCCATGCGATCTTTTTCTCGTTTCTCACGCTCCCTAGACGGACCCTGATGCTGCATTCGGACCCATAGCTTATTCATCTCCGCAAAATTCACGAGCACAAAGTGCACTGCATCCGAAACAGTGCCATCACATTCTTGTGGCTCTTTGTCGGACTCCGGCAAGTCATTAACACTGCAAATGATGCCCTTGTACTATTTTCCATAGCTAGTTAAGAAGTTGTAAAAGAAAAACTATGATGGCTTTAGTAAGAGGAATGAAGACTACCTGATTAACCCGGTACAAAACATACTCTGTAGTATTTAAATCAGGACTATCCGGAAGAAGTGTCCGTGTGCTTTGCAGTAAGTAGTTCCTTAAGAAGAGACCTCGTAGTGGATTCTGAACGCCTCGACACATTTCAACAAGATCGCTAAGAATGTTTCGACGTGTATCCTCACCACACTTAATGTACACGACACCGATCGTTATCAAAAGATACCTGGAAAACCTTGTCTACAGAAGAAAAGACTATGTTTAATGATGAACTCGCCCTAGGTGTTCAGCAGATGACAAAAACAATTAAATTCTAACAATCTCATAGCCTTAGACCCCAGAAGTTAGCCAAACAAAGCCTGTATTTAATCATGAAGGTTTCGCATTAATGTTGAAAAAACAACAATTGCAAAGTTCTTTAGAACGTTAAAAAAAAGCGTCGGATGTGCTTGCATTCCATATGATAAGTATAAGTATAAGCAGTATAAGTATAAGTATAAGCATAAGTAATTCTTATGGATATGTGATGATTCAGAGAGACAAACGTAAGTAAAACTAATCAATTCAGAATCTTGTATGCACCACTATGGAAGGTTAAGATAACACGCATTGCCGCAAGATGATGCGTTAATTCAACAATGTGGTCCCCAAAAAACCCTCCTGAGCCGAAATCGGGCCAAAAGGCATTGGCCTGCATCAGCAGCAAGCAGCCAAAAGGAGGCGACTATCCTCTACCAACGAGAGGTAGAGTCATAACACTATGAGAGTTTGAACGACGGTATAACTTACAATCGTGGTATGATTGCTCCGGCGTATTGCACACATTCATAGAGCTTCTCGATATTTGATTTATTTCGTTCATGCTCGTCTACCAAAAATGATTCAAGATGCTGCAGCTCGCTAACGGCATCCATATCTTAAATACGTAGAAGATCTAATTAATATCTGTAAGATCAATACTAGAAACAACACTAATATAACATAATTAGGCTAGAAAAATTGGCGAAATGGTAAGAATTACGGAACATTTTACAGAAATACGGTTCACACTCCTTCATAAAAGGCATAATGAGATAAAGCGGTCAGCACCCAGCCATCTCTAAGAGACGTCATGCATTGGACTCTACTCGTAGAATCATAGAGGTAATTGGATGGGCGTCCAGCTTGTTAAATGACTTTCGGTGGCTTCTCGATGCATCAAGTCACGATTTATCTATTTATTTATTTATTTATTCATTCATTCATTTATACGTTTTTACAAACGGCCCATGTTGAGCTGATGTGAGGCTGAACATATATATTAATAAATATACAGATCACTTATGCTGAAGTTTATAGAAAGTCGGTCTTTTGAGCTCCAAATCATTGTCTTCACTCTTACGGGGAGGTCTGCTGCCAATTTGTCAATAGTGGAAGAATGAAGCCACGGCAGCATGATCGAACTGGTGTGTTTTGTATTAAAAGACACCTCTAACCTCTCTTCTACACGCTTCTTTCAACCACGCCAATCAAAGCATAGTTTTTGGAAAGAGGTGGTGGGATTTAAAAAAGGTAAGAAAGAGTTCAAAAAGATACAGACCACAGGTATGTCAGAATCTCTATCGCAGAAAGTCTTTCTTTCCGACCGAACGAGTGAGGATTTGGATTGAAATAAAACATGACTTAAAGGATTGAAAGAAATAGGAGGAACATGAACAACTTACACAGTCGATAGTAGTACTTTGGAGACAGTTCACTTGTTTTCAACTCAGTGAGAAATTGCAAGGCGTGCTTTAAAGCATCCATGGTTTCTCCCTGAAAACAATGAGATACTGGTCAGAAGCAAAGCCTAGGAACAAAATTATGAGAGTGAAAAGAGGCAGCAAACGAAATGGGTTCTTCGAAGAGCTGACCTTGTCAAGACATCGTTTCATTTCCAAGGATTCGCTTCGAATCACACGTGTCGCACTTTCTAACAATTTCTCCTGCTCCGAATTTATTGCAGCTTCGTTCTTCATTCTGGAAACTGAACTAACCACTAAATGTTCAAAGATATCCATAAGAGAACTTCTACGAGACAAAATGGGATCCACGGAGTCATTCAAACCATAAAAATCTAAACTTAAACTGAGAAAAACTCAAAATTTCCCTAAGCAAACGAAATTCCTCAGCCGAGAATTCGAAGCGAAGTAGTATTACAAAAATATTACTGGTAGAATTCGATCCATAATCGCCCACGATTCTCGGAATGTGCAGTTTTCTTTTTTTTTATTCAAAAAAGCACAATGAATTAGAAGGACATAGTTATGAGGCACTAAAACGCATACCGCCTCACAACGTCGTTGTTTGTTTTGTCGTAGAAAAGAATCTTTAAATGTATTTTGCTTATTTTACTTTACTGTTCTATCTTGTAATGGTCTTCCTAGTGCTTAATGCGTTTAAATGCTTAATGTGTATTTGAAGGATTCGCATGGTGTGGTGGTAAACGCGTTAGCCCCAGAGAGGGTAACAGCGCGTTCGTTTCCTGCCGTAGTCACTTGCGGTCCGGAGTTTTGCAAATATCTCAGCATCGTTGTGCCTAATTTGTATGTTTTAGCAGTAATGGGCTTCCTCTTTTGGCAATAAAAAGTAGTAATGTGCAGGAGATAGAAGTTACACCTCGTGATTTCGACTACAGCCTCAGCTTAACTGGATTCAGTGCTATCTGTTGTTCCCAGATCATCCCCGTTGACGGGTGATTGCTGATGGCGCCGTTAGGTAGAAAACTACCCGACAGAAAGACAACGAAGGCCTGCGTGAGGCAATGGGTAACACGGGGTCTCCGGAAAGGGTAGTCGCGGTTCGATCTGGCCTCTGTGCCAAGTTTTGCAAATATTCAGCATCGTTGCAGTGTGACATTCTTTATATCTAATTTACTTTGCTTTACTGTATTGTCTTACAATGGTCCTCCTGCCGCTTAGGATATGAAATGTTCTTCATACTCTTGTCGAGCGCACGACCGAACGATGAGTCCTAAACGCATCCAGGTTATCCGCGTTGTGCTCTTTCGGTGTCCAAGTAGGCCACATTTCGGAGTAAATGCGAAGGAAGTAGAGAGGAAGATGTTATTAGTTGAAAAACTAGAACTTTCACTTCCGTTCAGACAATAATAACGATAAGAATTTCTTGGCGTTTGGCGACCTTTGGCATGGCTTCTCCACCAGACGAAGATGGGCACTGATCTTATTCTCGTGAGAGTAGCTGGAGTAGTGTTTGCCATCCCAACGACGATAAAGAACTCCCACCTAGTGACCGGATACCCTTCAGCAGCCGGACCACCCAGAAAAGCGGCAGCCGAGCCAAAAAAGGTCAAGAATGAGAAGGCTAAGACTTCAAGGATATCGAAGTACGCGATCAAGACTACTTTATCGTTATGTACTAGATGGTGCTGAAATTAATGTCGGATTTGTAATTTCATTCTTTGGTATATTTTAGCACTAATGGGATTCTATTTTGGCCACATAACGGAATCGGTAATACGGCAATATGAATAATATGTTTGTTTAGTGTTTCTAAATATGAAAATATAATTTCTTAGACATTCTCAAGACCACTTCAACTTCGCTATTTGGAGTTTGAATTTTCAACTTTGATCAAGTAACCCTAGAACTGGGTATGAATTTTATTTGTACAACAAGTTACGAGTTATAGCCACGAATGAGTCGATGTTTCGTCGTTCGTAGACGAATGCATCACGGATCTCGCACACAGAGAGATCCCTCACCGGTTAGTGGCGAGATAACGTGGCGCATTCCCAGGTGACGGATGGGTGGTTAATCGTGGACCAAAAGTGATGATTGCTTCCCTGAGACGCCTCTTGTAACCAGTTTTCATTCTGTGATGTTACTGTGTTTCCTTTAAACTACACAGTTCATTTACGGAATTTCTCAAAGGCCTAAGTTTCGGAGAGGAGGAGTGACAGTGGCACGTTAGACGGTAGTATGTCTTCAACACCTACTTACTTGGATACTTGGCTTGTATTCACTTATTGTGCATACCCCAGCATAATTCCCACTTTTTTGAAGTCTTGCTTGTTTAGCCTTTATAGTTCCCTGAAGTCCCAAGATCAGCCCAGCCAAAGTCAGCCCCTGGTCTTCATCACCACAGGCAGTAGCCGCCCTTGTGGATCGGAGGGAGATTTGCCACCTTGCGATTAGTTTAATACCACGACGATGGTGGATCCCGGTATTGGTTTACTTTTAGCTGGGCTACCTGATGGAAACACCGGACTCTTGCTCAGGTTGAGGGACCCTGCGCTGAGTATCTTTTCGCTGTAGATCGCAGTGCGACACTCAGGAACATCTCCCAGCCACGATGAGGTGGTAAACCGTTGAGAGGATATGTTCTGTCTATAGAGGACATAAAGTAGTAGATAATTTCAGAAAATTTTTGTTCACTTTCGACTACGAATTTTTGAAATTGTTTCATCTGTTTTGCTACAAACTGTACTTGATCAGGTTTCCATGGATTCCTTTTCTTATCTTTGGAATTGTACTGGTGTCGCAACATTCTGCACTTTTCGGTTTCCAGCACTTCTATTATATAATTCGTTTGTTCTCACGTCATCCACAAAAGTCATCGGATTTGCGTGTGGGCTTCGCTGCTACTTGAAGAGTCGGGCTTGATCCTCGTTAGAATCATTGAATAGCAATGCTAGATGTTCCCAGTTCTTCGCCACAACCCATTTAAGGCCTTGATACATTTGAGTTCTTTCCAAAGAAGTCGTATTAATTTGCTGATCTTGGTCAGTTGTGAGGATTGGTTTGCAAGGTGCGGTATCGAACCGGCGACCTCTTGGTTTTATTACAAGGGATTTCCAACCACTGCGCTTCACGCGTCCCTTTTTTTGTATTTACAGATTTCATAGAGTTAACTTTCTCGTTTTGTCTTTAAAGTTTTCTTAATAGTTGATCATAGTTTTCTGTAGTTATCATATTTTCTTCTTAGTGGTTTGTTAGTGGTTTTAAAATAGGAAACAATATTAAGCCGTTAGAAGAACTTTACCTCAATTAGTAACCCAACAAAGTCTTGTTGACATTGACGTATTTCCAACAAAAATAATTTTTCCAAGTATTGGCACGAATCTTCCTCATATGAGGGATTTCGAGTCGGTTAGCCGTGAGGCTACTTGGCGCGTCCCCAGGTCGCGAATAGGAGGTTAATCGCGGACCAAAAGCGAGCTTTGCTTCCCAGAGACGCAGGTGGATCCAGGGGATGGACTCCCTGTTTCTGCTGCGTTGATTTGGCACACACTTTCTGTATTTCCTAGGTGTATTCATGCATGCGTGTGTGGGTGCGTTCTTGCTTATGTGGATTGTATTCTACGAGTCAATTCGTCCAAAAGCCTGCAATCAAGTGACTGGGAAGTATATGGGAGGCGGTTAAGAGTCGCCTCCAACAAATAAGCTCCATGTACACTCTGGGAGAGCCTGGCGAGCTATACGTGGGTATCAAAAATGCTAAACAGTGAAAAAACGGGCCTCATTCCCCTGACCCCGAAAGAGCCCCAATTTCGTAGCGTTGGGTAGGACGAGTACGGAGAGGCTGCTAAAATCTCAGGGCCAATGGAATCTACCTAGATTTCAAAGAACTATGGTGACGATCTGTACCTACAATGCACGTACTCTTGCATCGGAGTCTTTGTTAGAAGAGTTGCTCATGCAAACAAGAAGGATAAGGTACGACGTCATCGGCCTGGCCGAGACGAGAAGTCGCCACCCATTCAACGCCGTCCATGGCACCGGAGAAGATCTGTTCCTCGCAACATGCGGCAGAAGAGGACTCGACGTTCTCGTCAACACGAGTTTGTCCATGAACATCGATTTATTCGAACGGCTTACAACCCGAATCGAACGTTTACGATTAAAAAGACGTGGATCAATACCGGCTTTGGCAATCTTTGTGGTTTACGCACCGACATCAAACTATGACAAGTAAAAAGTCGAAGCGTTCTATATAGACTTGGAGAAATTCTACAGAGAAGACCACAGATTTTTCAAGGTCATCATTGGAGCACGTCACATTGGGACCCACGGATTAGAATGGAACGAACAGGGTGAGCGGCTGTCTGAGTTTATCATGGCGACCAAGGCAATCCATGGTAACTCGCAATTCCAGAAGCCCCACCCTCAGCGCTGGATGTGGGATTCTCCCAGTAGAGGGTACCATAACGAAATGGACCACATAATAGTAAATAGGTTTTCTCTAACCGAAGTCGCTGTTGTCCCAAAATTCTACATGGGATCAGACCATCATCTCATTCGTGCAAGATTCTGTTTCTCGCAGAGAGGAGAAAAAGCAGCTAAATTCAAAAACCGAAGTCCCAGAACCACCGCAAACTGGGACTTATTCAATTCATTAGTTGGCTGTAGGGAAGGTGCCGTTGTCGATAACATTGACGAAGAATGCGATCGGCTAATTCAACATCTTCACGCTGACGCTGTGAAAGCTCAGAGTTCGAAATTCACCAAGAGACGTATGTCTCCAGAAACACTCCAGCTAATACCCCAGCGTGGAATCGCACGAGCTACAGGCAACCACGAACTAGCGTCCGAACTTGCAAAACAATGCAGACAGGCGATAAAAGAAGATCTTTAAGAGAGAAGAGCAGCAGTAATGGTTGAAGCTGCAGACGCTGGGAAAAGCATTCGCAAAGCCCATCGAAGCTTCGCCAATTACAAGGCCAAATTGATTGCTCTCTGGCGCCCAGACGGAACACTTACAGCATCCAGAAAAGCAACTGAGAAAATCGTTCACGATTACTACTCAGATCTCTTCGATAGCCACGTCTTCCTTCACTCATATGAAATAACGGAAGATAGATGTGTCGTTCCAGCTGTTTTCCCTTCAGAAATTCAACATGCTATTTCATCGATGAAAAATTGAATATCACGAAGTCCGGACAGGATAAGATCTGAAAACCTGAAGAACCTTCTACCAGTTCTCGTAAACACATTGGCTCGGCTCTTCACACGTTACCCGTTTGAATGCAAGGTCCCAACTCAGTGGAAGACCAGCAAGACCGTGTTATTGTTCAAGAATGGTGACCTGCACGATATCGGCAACTATCGCCGAATTTGCTAGCTATCTGTCGCCTGTAAACTCTTTACTCCAGTCGTCCTAAACAGTGTTGACACTGGACGAAGAGCAGTCACGTGAGCAAGGAGGCTTTGAAAAGGATTTAGTACAATGGACCACATCCATACGATGACAAGAAATAACAAGATTCTTTGAAGTGTCGTGAGAGTAGAAGAGACTCATCGATTTGAAGAAAGCTTTTGCTTTTGATTCAGTTGAGATAGAAGCAGTCATGAAGCACTGAACAGATAAAGTAACCCTACTCAGTATATATTCTTCGTGAGCTATATATAAAAATTTTACAACAAAAATTTCACTATTCCATAACGATATTAATATCAATGTCAAAATGGGGGTTAGGCAAGGCTATAACATTTCGCCAGAATTGTTTGCTGTCTTCCTGCAGAATGTCATGCGAGTGTTGACATGAGACAGCGTAGGAGTGAAGATTGACGGTGGAAAATTACACCATCCTCACTTAGCTGATGACATGGTTCCTATAACAGCACGTATTAGCCAGGCAGAACGAGTACTAGCTGCCCTTGATAATGCTTGTGGATAGGTTGGCCTTCAACTAAAAATATGTCTCAAAGACACTATGTGTGTGGGACGAATTTGTTCCTTTTACTTATTCTAGGGTGTTGGGAGTAGGGAGTGAATAATTCCAATACTTCATTTACTTTCATAAAAACACAATACAATACAACGCTAGCTGACGTTTCGGCAGTATCGCCTTCTTCAGAGCCGCTTTTTCGTGACTTCCAATGAGGAAGTTTAGAACAGCTGATTATGTCGCATGTGGTTGACGACTCGAGTCTCCATTTATTTCATTCAAGTAAAGAGTGATTCAATGGATTCTTGTAATAGTTCCCAGGATCAACTTTCAAAACTTATTAACCTCGGCATTGGAATATGAATGTAATGTAATGTAGCAATGAGGAAGTCACGAAAAAGTGGCTCTGAAGAAGGCGATACTGCCGAAACGTCAGCTAGCGTTGTATTGTATTGTATTTTTATGGAAGTGAATGTATGCTGTTTAAAAACCTCGCGATTGCTGAACAAGAAAACGACACATCCAATACTTCAGCTATGTATATCTGTGTCGTAAAGTCGAAATAAGTGAATTAGCTAGAGAATCGAGCAGAAGGAAGTGAGCAACTTGTGGAGCTTTCAAGGTCATCAAGTAAATAATGTATAGAACAAAGAAAACGCAACTTCGTGGCCATCGTTTTGACTCCGTGGTACTTCCTGTGTTCACGGACGCGTCGAAAACCTGATCGCTACGTAAGCGAGATGAAAGATCAGCGTTATTGAACGCAAACTACAGAGGACGATGCTGAGAGTGTCCCATTAAGAGAAGGAATCCGATGTTTGCACTTACCACAACGAGGAATGGTCAGAAATGCCGTTGTGAACAGCAGAATGTAGAAGGATCAGATGGAACGGACACGTCATGCGTATTAATGACCAATGATGGACAATAACTGTTAGCGACTGGATTCCTCGGGATGTCGAATGCACAGGAAAGAGGTCACCGATCCTATCGTCAGAGTTCTTCAGAAAAACCCTTAAAGATCGATATTATGCTTAAGACATTTCTTAATCGTAAACCCAACAGAACTCACTGGGATCCTCTTCCACGCGAGTTGGAGAATCGGGAGGTTTGCTGGCGCCCGCTAGTGTCATTCGGTGAACAACGAGAGGACAGGTGATACATGTGATGTAGACAGATGTACTATCAATTGAGCACCGATTACGCTCTGTTTGAAAGTTCTAGGTCTAGTGACGGGAATTTAAACAATGCATCGATGCGAATGGTCGCACCATCATTGTCCTGACGCATTGTGCTCCATGTTCCGAGGAAACTAGTTTCATTTCAGTTGTAGTGAACAGTTTCTTCGGAACATAGTTGAATTGTTTAATCAGTACTGTATCATTTTGTGTTCTGGGGTAGCTCAAAGTTATGAGTCATTTTTCTGGATAATTTTGTCAAGACAGCAGTGACGCTCAACGAGTCACAGAACATAGAACATTCAGGAACTAAATACATCACCATTTTATTTTGCTCCATAGGTAGAAAAAAGAACGATAGTCTTGTGCCCTTTCAACTATGGTATAAGTGACATACAACCATAAACCATAAGGATGCTGAGACATTCACAAAACTCGGGACCTTGGCTGGATTTCGAGCCCACGATTACCCTTGCCGGAAGCCCACGTACGAACCACCACAACACCACCCTAGGCACTTACTTTGCCTTTCGCTCAGTCACATTCTTTCTACTCTGTTGCTGATGTCAACAATCAGCCGTCAACGGGAATGATTTGGAGAGCACAAATCGGCATCGAAAACGGTTAAGCTGAAGGTGTTGACGAAATCACAATGCCTTCACTCTTATTTACTGCCTATTCTTTTTTCATGGAAATAGTTAAGAAAGACGGCCCATCCAAGTATACCGTTAATCGCCTCATTCGTCATCAACGAAGCCCTTGGCATATGCGTTTAGCTCCAACCATGACCTGCAACTCTTCCTTATTTTGTTGGATGCCGGTCAGTTTGATTATGACTGAAATCCTGGGAAAACCGTGCTAGTACGTCATCAAGGCTTCCCCACTGAAGAAGTCCAGATTAGAGGATCGGAGGTAGCCATTTCCAGAAAAGTTTGGTATCATCTGGAGGTATGTGAGGCTTGGTTACGGGAAGATCAAATGAGTTTTGCCTAACCAAAGCAGTAAAGAGTTGCTAACAAACAATACTAACAATGTGGTCGTTTGGCGCATATGTTACGAGCTCTTTATGTTTCTGTGGATCTCCACTGACATCTGACGATATACAAATTGCTCTGAACACAAGGAAATTGCAGAGAAATCTTGAATGCTTTATTGGTTACATTAAATACCGACGAGATTCTTTAATATTCAAGTTTTCGCAAATTTACAACTTGGACGTTTCCCGCATTGCTTTACTGCATGCTAAGTTCATATCGTCCAAAGCACGGTCCAGTTCTTTAACGAAGCTGAAACATGTGTGGATTGTATGAAATATAGCTGTAATAATCGTCATTTTTGGTTTAGACATTTTTAGTGAAGCACACAGATCTCAATGACTGTAACCTCAAAAGTTTCGTATTACTTACCGCTTGGAGCTTGTAGAACCGTAGCTCTTAAAGCTGGTTACAGTAAAATGCAGTTCAGTTTCTTGTGGATTATAGCATATACCATAGCAATCCGGTGCAGATGGACCGAAACCGAGTTGAATGTGGTTACGAGTGGGGACCTGTGTGGTACTTCTTATAAGCAAATTTGATATAGGGAAGATGCAAGTAGTACTACATACTTGACTGGTGGACACCTGGAAGTGACTCATTTGCTGATAGGCAGGAGTCTGAAGGATGCTTGGTTTGGGTAGACCGTATTCGGCGGCAAGAAGATTCCAGGCAAGAAGATGCCGATCCATTCCAGCACCGTTCATGCATTCTAACTGGAATGATATTTATGACGAAAGAAGACTGACACCAAACTGTGAATTCTAGGGATGGCATCTTAACAAGTAAGATTTTCTAGAATTTGGTCACGAGAGAAGCGTTAAGTCGACGGATACAGATTTCACGACACTAGAGAGATGGGGTGCTTGTTTGATCCGAAGCGCTATAATACTGAACCATGACCATCACGTGTGTATTTTCAGGACACCAACTACTATGTAATTCGCTCCGACTTTGAGTCACTCGAAGTTGAAATATACGATATTAAGTGCAGTGTCCTTCCAACGGTTCACCGCTTAATCGTGGCTGTGAGCTGTTCGTGGGTGTCGGGCTGCGATGTACAGCGGGGCATTCATCCCCCAGCAGGGCCTCCTCGGCTGAGAAAGAGTCCGGCGTTTTCATCAGAAAGCCCAGCTAAGAGTAAACTAATACCAGAATCCACCATCGTCCTGGTATCAAACTAGTGGCATGGTGGCAAATCTCCCTCTGATTTACAAGGGCGGGAACTGCCTGTGGTGGTGACGACCTGGGGCAGACTTTGGCTAGGCTGACCTCGGGATTCCATGGAACCACATTGCCTAAACCAGCAAAACTCCGAAAAAATGGAAATTATGCTGGAGCCTGCAAAAGCAGTGAAGACGGCCATCCAAGTATCCAAGTAAGTAAGAAGTGCAATGTACAGAACGAAATGAACTCACAGTATAATTCTTGTGTGAATCCGCTGCAACCTTAAGCGCATCATAAATATCTTCTATTGGCACGTGGCTTGAAGTAAACTGAAAGAGTTGAAGATATTGCTGTTGTAAATTTTACAGTTTTTGTTGTGGCATTTATATTTAATATTATAATGCTTATAGCAGTGTAGTTGTCATGCATTGCTTCATTATCCGACGTTTAGGTAGCTTTATGTCCATAGTTTTAAGCTACATCTTAGACCTCTAATGTCCAAAAATGAGCTCCTGTTGGTGTCAGCGTTGCGAGATTTATTTCTATTCGAAAGAATATCTCTCCATCAAACTGTCTACCTTTCTAACAAAAACTTTTGCCAGGAGGTTCGGTGATCGTATATTTTCTGTCCTTCCTTCGGCAAATTTTCGTAACGTTGCAGTTTCATACGTAGGAGGCACTAAATATTATTAGTGTTAATATAGGAAAATCTTAAACTGTCGACGTATTAAGGTTATCTACAATGCTAAGGTAAAATCTCTTTGTAATAACACGCCATACAGCGGTTGTTTTAGCGCCAGGGTAAGTCACATATGACCCACTTTCTCTTCGGCTGTTTATTGTACTGCAGAGTCTTTGCTGGAGTTCGTGATTTCATTTGATGGGCCATTCAACGGGGATACTGTGCCCTCCTCAGGCCTCTATTCTACAAAAATAATGTGTAAAAACCTCTTTCCAACGAGTTTGTTCGCCTAATTTAAGCCCAGTGGCAGGGGACCCCTTCTCTGAAAATTTTAGCGCGGAACTGAGTTTTGCATAGGTCTTGGTTTTATATTTCATGAGAAAACTTCTTGGTTGTGTAGTAATGCTTGCTAACAATCTAAGAGGGTCCACAATCGAGGAGACTTACTGACTACTATGATTATTCCTGTACAAATAGGAAGGATGGATTTATTTATGTGATCTTATAAACTGATCTTCTTAAGCTGACGCGAGGTTGGTACAGATCTTCGTTGTCGTTGTTTTTGATGTTATTGAACGATTGCTGACGTTTCGGCGACTTCGCCTTCCTCAGAGCCTGGACGTACTTTATGTTAGAATACTTTTTATAATTCGGTGGAAAAGAAGGTTAAAGTATTAATGAAGATCAAACTTTCAAATAGACGCCATATTGAACAGAAAGTCCACTAACCGTGATGTTACGTGCGGGACTGGCCCACACGTAGTTCACGCGAGCAAGACACGCCCCGGGGTCAAAATACCATTTTGAAATAGGGCGCCAGGTCACGCGTGATAGTGAGGCATTCGTCCTTCCGGTTCATCTTTGGATTTTTGAAATTTATTCAAAACGCCTCAAGAGTTTTGCGCGTTGATGTTTTTTTTTCTTCGATTTTTTTTTGAAAATTGCCATTTCCAATGACTACGAAGTAGAAGCCACTCGGGTTAGAAGAAAACATTGGGTAGTTTCCCAAAATAATATTTCAAACGAAAGTAGGATTCCCTTTAAGCTGCCCTTCATATCAAATGAAGTAAGTCACGCCATTAAAAAGTGCTTAGGAAAAAGTGGTCTTGAAAATTATGTAACGATTATTGACATCCCACCCAATACTCTACGCCGCCAGTTAGTTCGAAACCGTCTCTATGATCGTTTGTGCAGCTCAGAAAACTGTATGATCTGTCCTAACGGGAGAGACGGGGATTGCATGAGTTTAGGTATAACATACTTGATCTCATCTAATGCATGCGGTGAGGAATATATTGGGGAAACGGGTAGACCACTTTATGTCCGCATAAAAGAACATCTAGATGGAAAAGCTAAAATCCGTTTAAACACTCCTCTAGGTACGCATAGGGCACGAAAGCACAACGTCGATGATTTTGAAGCGAATGTGCGGATCCTAGCGCAGGAATCAAAAACATCAACGCGCAAAACTCTTGAGGCGTTTTGGATAAATTTCAAAAATCCAAAGATGAACCGGAAGGACGAATGCCTCACTATCACGCGTGACCTGGCGCCCTATTTCAAAATGATATTTTGACCCCGGAGCGTGCCTTGCTCGCGTGAACTACGTGTGGGCCAGTCCCGCACGTAACATCACGGTGAGTGGCCTTTCTGTTCAATATGGCGTCTATTTGAAAGTTTGATCTTCATTAATACTTTAACCTTCTTTTCCACCGAATAATAAAAAGTATTCTAACATAAAGTACGTCCAGGCTCTGAGGAAGGCGAAGTCGCCGAAACGTCAGCCATCGTTCAATAACATCAAAAACAACGACAACGACAACGAAGATTTGTACCAACCTCGCGTCAGCTTAAGAAGATCAGTTTATAAGATCACATAAATAAATATATCAACTATCTATGCCGAGGTTCATAGAAAGTCGGTCTTTCGAGTTAGGAAGGATGGACATCACAGAAATAAGAAGAAAAATTTTGAAAGCATGGGAAGTGCTCAGGTAAATATTAATCGCTTTTGAAAATAAATTCTGAGGTAAATACGGTAGATATTCAAACTCACACGTTGAATGAATCCTGTAGAAAGCTAACTGAAATGCCATTTGAATGAATGAATCAGGAGATATCCTCAACGATTTCGGAAAATTCTTGCCAAATCGTTTGAAAGTGTGCACTGCCACATCTAAATCGTCGGCTACCCTAAAAGCTAAAAGGATAAATCTCTCGGCGTTGATTAATCCCTAAGGGATGTGCCATCCATTCGACTTCATAAAACATCGTTGGAGGTAACTGAATGTATATCGGGCCTTTACAATGACTCGCGGTGGTTTACCGATGTATCAAGTCACTGCTGCCATTCTTCCAGACAAATTTGCTATCAAGCTGACGACTCAGGAGAAATGAAGCGCTTGATGAGCTTGGGATGCGTATTGCGAAGCGCCTCTAACCATTGCGCTACACGCACCCTATAAAATAACTACCCTGTAAGATGAGGAACATCATCTACGTTATAAACACTATTGGACAACATGATTTCAACCACAACTGAATTGATTTAAATTCATACATGCTATGGAATTTCTGACAAAGCGTGAAGAATAGAGCGCTCGGGGGTCATTAATGCCTAGGGATGCCTAGGGATGTACAGTGTATCGATTCAATTCGTAACGTCATAGGAGTGGACGCATATTTGGACAATACCATGACTTGAGGGGATTTATAGATGTGTCACGTTAGTACGCTGTTCCAAAAAAGGTTGAGAAAATGGCAAAGCAAGGGCTTCGGTTAAGGTTGGAGATAACACACGAGCCACGAGGCAGGGGTGGGTCACGGGCTCCAGGCCCACATGACGTTCCGAGTTTTGCTCACATGTCAACATCCCGATGGTTGTATTTCACACCGTAGCCTGCCATAAAAAAAGAATAGACAGTAAATAAAAGTTGAAACACCACCAAGTTAGTATTTTTATTTTCCTACACAAGTCTGGGTATCGATCTATCGATTTCCGAGAGTCGAAACGCTTGTTTTGGCCGAGGCGTGAGATAGAACCAGTGATCAAGGCACCTTTAACTATTGCATGGCACGCACTCATTTTTTACAGCGCGAATTAGTTCCAATACGTTTTCCTCGCGACTACTTCTTTTGTCGCAGAAAGCTTCCTCGTGTTGTCTTTTGTGCTAAATAGATAGCTCCCATACGACGGATATTGTTCTCAATGTGGTTCAAGAAAAGCTTATTTCTACAGATTACAAATGGGAAAGCAGTAGTTGGACAAGTTCCTTAACTTGAAGTCCTACAACGATGCTTTGTTTCCCGCAGAGACGTACTACCGTCATATGGACTGTTTTGAATAAGGAAAGCACTAAGATATCTCTGCTCTTTGGGAAATTTCGAACTGAACCTAGTGCTGTTCAATGCAGTAACGTTTTTTCTTCAACCAACAAAAATGCTTAACACAAAGGAATTCTCGGAAGTATTAATATCCAATAATCAATGAGATCTAACCAGTCTAACTGCTTCTCGCTTTTCCTTATCTGGGCTTTCTGAGAGTCATTTAATTCAAAATCTAGTCGCTGCACTTCTACTTCGGGTGTAGTGGAATCATCCTTGAAGTCATTTGCGAAACTAAAAAATCTGTCTATATGAAAAAAAAGAACAATATTAGGTAAAGCACTGCACTAACATTTTATCGCAGATAAAATCCGTCATAGTAGCTATAGGTGGTCCTTCGGCTGGGGTGTGTTCGTAATTGATACCAACAAAACCATTTTTTCCTATCAGAAACTGGAAGGTAAGGATAATGGATAACGACATGAAGACCAAACTTGAAACGAAATGACCTCAATAGTAAATAAAATGATAAGTCCTATGCATTCGACTGCGTTCGTAGTATCGTGGAGATGGTTGGGTGCCTATGGAGCTCATACAACAATATGTGAGCTTTTCTCTGACAGGTTTATTACCAATTAACCGATCCCTGAGGAAGACAAAGCTTCATTTTTCCGGGCGCAGGCCGAACCAAGCTTTTCATATTGCAGGAGACCTCAGCGATTGCGCTACACGCACTCTGACGGTATATTTTGTATCTTTTTAATGCAAACCAAATGCTTTTTATATGCCCACCTGTAAAGTTTTGTCATACCATCTATTACACGCGTTGCTCTTCACACCTCCACCGTGTAAGCACTGGAAAAGTACGGTGAAAAAAGTTCTTTTTTTTCCTTTACAGAATGTAGCCATATAACCACAAGGACGCTGAGATGTGAGCAGAACTCAGAACTTACGGTGGGCTTCGGACGTGCGATTTCCTTATCCGGGGGCTCACGTGCTACCTACCATACCAATTGAGGTCCTTGATTTACCTTTCTTTCAGTCACCTGTCGAAGAGAATGATCTGGCAAACACAAATCGGAATTCAACTCAGTAAAGCTGAAGCTGCGTCGAAGTCACAATATCTAACTTTTATTTACTGGCCTATTCCTTTCCACAAGTTACACAGCACGTGCTTACAAACGGTTTACCGCCTCATCGTGGCTGCGAGGTATTCCCGGGTGTCGAACCCCGATTTACAGCAGGGAGACTCAACCCCCTGGCAGGGTCTCCTAAGCTGAGGAGTCCGGCGTTTTTATCAGGAAGCCTAGCTAAGAGTAAACCAGTATTAGGATCCACCGCTGTAAAAGCCGCGTGGTGGCTAATCTCCCTCTGATCCACAAAGGATGCGGCTGCCTGTGGTGGTGAAGACCTGAAGTAGACTTTGGCCAGGTTGACCTCGGGATTGCAGGGAACCATAATGGCTTAACCAGGAAATCTCCGAAAAATGGTGATTATGGTGGGGTCCGCACAATCAGTGATGACGAGCCACCCAAGTATCCAAATAAGCATGTGCCAACTGATGAAATAGTGACTGTTACAGGACGTACTGCCACCATGAAGCCAGACCATATTGGATAACATTGGATCAACATCCGCCTTTTTAGTTTCGCAAGTTCTGCAGGCAGGGTTTCCCATCCCAAGGTGAGAAGGAATCGAACGTTTCCACCAGGAAGCTCAGCTAAGAGTAAACCAATACCAAGATCAACCACCGTCATAGTATCAAGCAAGTCGCATGATGGCAAATCTCCCTCTGATCCATTAAAGCTGCGACTGCCTATGGTGGTGACGATCTAGGGCAGAATTTGGCCAGGCTGTCGGGACTCCAGGGAACCACGATAGCTAAACCAAAGAATTTCCGGAGAATGGAAATTATGCTGGAGTCCGGACAACCAGTGAAGATGGGCCATCCAAGTAACAAAGAATGTAGTACAAAGCACGTGAGCTCGAAGAGAGTAATAACGAACTCGAAACAGAGCTTAGGTTCGGAGTTTTGTTCAGCATTCTCAGCACCTCAGCATTCTTGTGGTTTTGTTCTAAATAGTACATTGGAAGAAAAAAGAATAGTGCAATAAATAAAAGATAAGCGGTATAACCACATATTAAGTAAAATATGTGAGTGTCATTTATGATGTAAATCAAGAATCTAGCCATTCACAGCAACTTACCACGGCGTTTCTATTGATACATGAAGAGGCAAATTCAAGAATGTTTGTAAACTAACTTGTCTTGCCATCTCATCCTTTTCTTGATAACCTTCTGAAGGTTTGAATTCTTGATCAAGACATACAGCAAACAATGCATCTTCAATGCAGGAAAGATTGACAGAATTGGTAGGGTGGGCTGTAACTACCATATCACTAGATAACTGAATAGCACACCTTCACAGAGAATCTTGATTGCTCATGCAGTTTTTACTTGAATAGTATGTCGCTACTTAGGCAAGATTTCTCATCTGGAGTCCTAGGAAAGCTCTCCCAAGCTGCTCCCACATCACCACATCGGAAATGGAAAGAAGCCTGACTGACTGCACCGGTTTACTCAGTAACAACAATCATTCCTGGTAGTGTTTTACCTTTAGCGAGAGTTTTGTACAGGAATGTCTTCTTCGCAGGTTAATTGGCCTTGTAAAGAGATGGATCTGCTACTATAAATCGCAGTTCACCCAGAATGAACCGCCACCACAGTGAGGTGCTCCATTACCACAACAAAATGAAAATAGCTTCTCAGGCGGTAAAATCGGTAGGGATTAAGTTTGTTAAATACAGAATACAGAAAATATTAGTGCTTCTACGCAAGAAAAAGTTTAATTGGAAGCACCAACGTTATACCTTTCAGTTGTTCATAGACCTCTGACCAATTGTCTCGATTATCTGATGAGATAATTCCGACGGAGTGACTTAATCGTTCGGGACTTCGTTTGATAATAGAGTTGAACATAGTGATGAGCGCTGACAGTGACACTGGCTCACTAGCCGGAGTCAGAACGGGCATAGTAAAAACCTTAACAGCGTGTGATAAATGGTCGCTGACACTGTCATATGCATTGGGTTGGGTTCCAATTCATCCTACCGTTATCTAAGTGTTTACGACTTGCAAGAGAATCTTCTATGAAAACTAGTCTTCAGTCCTAAATTTAACTATGAAATAAAAGTTCGGTTATCCATCAGAAGATGACGGTGTGTACGAAGAATACTCGATCTAATCTTAGTCAGTTTCACTACGATAACTACCTTAATAATCTTCCATGCCAAAACTGGTACTTACCTATTTAAGGTTTAAATGGTTTTACCAGCTAGGCAATGTAGAAAATAGTTCCTATACAGAGTTTGCTCTGAGACAATCGATATCGTAGCGTTTCGTATGCATAAGTCTATACGCTTTTCACAAAGGAGGAAGGCAGTAAAATCATACAGAACTTACGTGGCCATTGTGTAAAACAATAATGTGTCGTTGCTGATTCTCGTTGGCAAACCCGTATCGAATCTGAAACACTATCCATTATCGGTAAAGTATGTCATATTGACCACCCAGAACGACATAGATGGCATTGCACCAACAATTGCTACTGCTCGAAACTCCAGGCCCCTTTTCTCATTAATCGATATGTCTCAATTACACCGTATCAAACTTATATGAAGTTGTTAAAAGAATACAGCTTTCGGCGTTGATCAGATTCCTGAGAGATGCGCCATAGATTCAGCTTCACTAAGCATCGTTAGAGGTGATTAAATGCGTACCTGGCCAAAAAAAAAATAACTTGCGGTGGCCTAGCGATATATCAAGGCAATGCTGGTATCATTATAGATAATTTATGAACCAATTTGCCGACTTAGAAGCGATGAAAGACTTGGCGAGAAATGGTTCGCGAGATCAAACCAACTACCACGTATGTGTTGCAAGGGACCCCTAACTATTGCACTGTACGCGTCCCATAAGTTGGTTAGAAATCTATAAGGATAAAGGATGAAGCCCTCGGCGTTAATCAATCCCTGAGGGATGCTCCTCGCATTCGACTTCACTGAGCATCGCTGGAGATGAATGAGTGCATATCTTGTATTCACAATGACTCGTGGTGGCTTAACGATGTATGAGCCAGTGCTCCTATTCTCCTAGACAATTTGGTAGCAAAACTCCGGACCGCAGGTGTCTGCGGTGGCGAATGAAAGCGCTATTTCAACTTATTTACTCTTTTACTGCTTTTTTACTGCCTACTCTTTTCAACGGGTGGTTGCTGACGGCAGAGATCGATAGAAGTAGCTGAGAGACAGGTGAAACGAAGGACCCGCATAGTGTGGTGGTGAACACGTTACTCCTCGGAAAGGACAATAACACGTTCGTTCCTCACCGGACGCCTGCAGTTTGGAGTTTTGCATATATCTAAGTATAATTGAAATTATATTTCGCAATATATACCCTGCCATTAAAAACAGTAGGCAGTAAATAATAAGTTAAAATTTGGTAGCAATTTGCCAATCCCGGAGGGATGGAAGGCTTGGTGAGCTTGGGGCTCGGGGATCGATCTGTGTACAGGGCCCATCCAACCGCTGCGCTACACGCGCCCTTTTAGAACTCTGTATTGTGGCTAATGTTCGCCAATCTCGTGTGAGCTTATCAATAATCCAAAACGTTGACTATCCATTATGCAAAGAAAGTCGGTATTGAGAATACACTGTACTATTCACACTATGTTCTCAAACCTAACGAACTACAAGCAAACGACAAAAAGGCCTCTGCGGTGCCTTAAAATATTCTACGCAACAGCTGCATAAAGTATATGAATATTTGGATGATTCCACTTCATGAGTCACGGAGAATCTTGCAGGTGCTAGCAGGATTTCAGTTAGACTAGTAATTTGCTGGCTGGATGAGGATTGCCCTCTTTGAGGTTTTGTAAAACGTTCTAGACTTTCACAGGTGCCACCACTTGCAACGATGTGAGTTGATATATTTATTTATATGGTTTTATAAACTGATCTGGACTATAAAGTTTATAAGATCGCATAAATAAATATATCAACTACTTATACCGAAGTTCACAGAAAGTCGGTCTTTTGGACCCTGTGAGTGTTCCTGACTCATTGACACTGGTTTAGTCCTAGCTCCGCTTACGAACAGAAGTGTTAAACTCGGTAATGTGACAGATGCAGATGGAGGATAAATCAATGGTGAATGTCACAGCTCGATTCCCAAGAACACTCACACTCATCCATGGTGGGCGGTAAACTACTGAGGAATGAAACAAACTGCACATTAAACTTGAAAAAAAAGTGTGGAAAAGGGACGACAGGTGGACAAAAGGAATACTAGATTGGATTCTGAAAGAAGCAGAAGGATCTTGAGGAAGACCATTTTAAAGATGGGCCCAGGTGTTTGCTATATGCGTGAACCATCTATACTCATAGGTCGAATTAGGTTTCGGATTCTCAAACCGCAAGCGAAACCAAATACGAATACGGCCACCCCCATGGATGATGGTTGCAACAAGACGAACGAAATGAATAGAAAAATTACTGGGACCTGCACTACTTGTTAAGACGGGTCATTTAAGTACTTAAATAAGCAACAAGAAACATGAATTGAAAAGATATTTAATGGAAAGTCGTGAAAAAGGAATAATTGAGACAGTGATCTTATAATAAAAATGGCCACATCAACCTCATCACATTCCTTCTTTGGTATACGTGTTGTTCCAAAGATGAACATATATTGACTCATATCGAACGGTGTCTTACCGAACATATCCTGAGGGAGTTCACCTCTAAAAATATCAAGTTTCTCTGTATTAAGGAAAATTTCGCTCAAAGAAGTAGCATCGTATAATAAGAATTCGATAAATTTAAGGCACTAAGGTTGTCCTGAAAGTCATGCTACAGTAAATTACCCTTAATCTAAACGACCACTCTAACGGTTTACCACTTCATCGTGGCTGGGAGATGTTCCTTGGTGTCGCGCTGCGATGTATCGCCCCAGCAAGGTCTTCCAAGCTGATAAGGAGTCCGGTTTATCCATCTGGAAGCCCAACTAAGAGTAAACCAATACCGGGATCCACAACCGTTCTGGCATCAAACTAGTCGCATGGTGGCAATCCACAAGAGCTATCTCGCCTTGATCCACAAAGACGGCGACTGCCTGTGGTGGTGACGACCTGGAGTAGACTTTGGCCAGGCTGATCTCGGGACTTCAGGGAAACACAATGGCTAAACCAAAAATACTCCGAAAACATGAAAATTATGCTGGAGCCCGCACAACTAGTGAAGACGAGGCATTCAAGCATCCAAGTAAGCAAGTAATCTAAACGACTAAAAGTGGCAAAAAATGGAACGCTGAAGGAGTGAGAGTGAATTTCATGCCAGCTGTGGCTGTATAAATCGAAAAAATTCGTACCTTAAAACCTTAAGGTGAAATTCAACTGCTGCCTGTGTCACTTTGGCAGCATATTCACTTTGAAATTCTTTCCCAGTGCAAGGAAACTGGGGAAATATCAGTCCTGAAGCAATACATTCTCTTGTTGCACAAAAATAAAGATTGAATCACATTGTTGTGTATAACTTGATATAGCCTTGAGAAGCGCAGCGGTTAGAAGTGCCAAGAGAAACAAATGGTAGTTGGTTCCACTTCACTCTGCGCCTACCAAATACCATCCGTACCTCTAAGCTGCTCAGGATAACAACGTGCAGTGCGCTGGTACCGCTATGACAACTTCAACATTTCATTATAAAATATTTTTTGGGGAAAATCGATAATACTCACCTGGCGAGGTGACCACTGGAAGTGGAGCCCGTCCTTCTAGATATGCCACATTCAACCACCATGGTGTTAACTGTAGAAAGAACGTCATTCGATAATTTCATAAAAAGGTGGCATTATTACTGAAGTTTTTCATTACTATTTTAATATGACCCGTCTTCCTGTCTACTGTGCGGATTCCAGCATTTCTCACATTCGATTCGTTTCCTCGCATCCATACTCCACGAAGATCTTTCAACTTTTTTTTTAAAGTGTGGCTTCGGCTGCTACTCAAGGATTTTCACTTCATCTTGAATGTCGCGGAATGCTGGTCGAGTCGATTCTCACTGGAGTCCTGAGATAGCCGGGCTGGAGCATTCCCAATCGGATTGTAAAGAATGATTTTTTCCCGGACAAATCCGGTACTAGTTTCCCGACGTCGGAGAGATGAAAGATTTGGCTGGCCCTGAGCAGAGTCGAACTAGCACCATGCTCGTGACAACCGACATCACTACCATTGTGCTAACCGCTCTATCATTACTGCAGCAATACTGTAAAAGTACTTTCTGCATTTCCAAAACGCTTACCACTAGATAGCAGTAAAGAATATATATTATGCAAAATTTTATATTCAATCGCATTATATCTCTCACTATTAGTAGGTTTTATAATAAGTTTCTCACTGAGTCATATCCTGACGTATTTTAACTTTTGTCTAAGACATTTGAAGTGCTACACGACTAAGTAATATTATAATTTATACAGCATTACTATCTAGTGGTTTTCCAGTTTTGAAATCCAACAAATAAGTGATATGCACTACCATTAATGCATACATGGAAGGTAGAGTGGACTATATGCATTGATTTCAATACACATTATTTATCACCGTCTGTTTTAAAACAAAAAAGTTTACTTGGCATACTTTTCGTAATGAAGCGATAGCTTACAAAATATAAATATTGTTCCAAATGTGGTCCACGAAAATTTATTATCTAGATTTATTTATGTACAAAAAGTCTTTGTTCGCACGAATTTTTCAATCCACACCGTCTTCGACGAAGAGCTAGGCTTAGTTGCGTATGTATTGAAATTAGTGGGGCAGATTTTTAAAACTGGACATTTTTCATTCATCTATTATCTCTCGAATTATCAAAAATGAATAAGGAGAAGGAATGACTGGATGATCAAGAAAAGAAAATAGAAACTTGCCCAATTATTGAGTTTTGCGGCACGTTCTTCAAGCAGCTTTTGTAGAGTGGGAAGTTCTTTCTCGACAAAATCATTCACCACCTGTAAGACTGTAAACAATTTCAGTCGAAGAACAAGGATTTCTATTTCACCAAGTTCGTTATTAAGCAAATTTTAATGACTCTTTAGCTTGAAAGAAAATGTATAGTCAAAAACCAGTACGGTGCAGTAGTTAAAAGTGCCCTGTATTGCACACGTGGTCTTTGGTGCAATCTGGAGCCCCTGAAAACAATAACCTCCATACCTGGGTGGTCGGCGAATTGGCACCAAACTTGCGTGGGAGGATTAAACGCTTACTTAGAACATTATCAAGCCCACGGAAGTCACTGTATCAGCAGAACATGCATTCAATCAACTCTACTATCCTTAACACATTCGCGACAACGCCTAATTTTTCGTAACGTGCCTAAAGGATGGCAACTAATTTTTCTTCGACTCGCTCCGATCTCTCTGGAGGTCGAACCGGCCACAATGTCCAATAATTTGGAAGCGGTGCACGATTTTCAGCATATAATTAAATTTTTCTCTGCATTTTGATCCCATGGACGACTGCAGCTATACATCTGCATTGGACAAGCTATCAATTAATTACAGTAAGTGTGAAAAAAAACTCTTGTGCACAAAAATAAACCCTCGAAAAGAAAACGATTTTTATAGAGGTCATAGCTGCCACTATGCCCCTATAGAAATGACTTTATAGAAGTCACTTCGTCGCAAAGGTGTTAAACTAGTCGAATGGTTAGCGCATAGCTAAGAGATTGATCAACGCCGAACATCTTATGCTTTGGACGATCCTAGTTGTTACATCTCTTTATACTGACTAACCTACTAGCCAATTTGGCCTATAAATATGAAGAAACAATTTTTTAATCCTCGCAAATAAATATGGTTTCAATTTGTCGACCCCGAAGGAATCGAAGACATGGCGAGCACGAGTTCGGACCAACGACATTGGGTATTGCAGTATACATGTAACCAATGAGCTAAAAATAAATATACATACGCCAACACTTACCGACTTTGTTTCGTCGAATTCTTTTCTTGTCTGTAGTGCTTCAGCAAAGTTCAGAAAGTGCTTGAGCGTATTTCTAGGATCTGGTACTGGCAATTTTGGTAGTGCCTTAGATGTTTCCCTCATATAAAGGCCTAAATAATTACGAACTAATATCGTAATCAATAATTTTGGTGTCCAAAAAGAAATTATTCTGTTTTTGATTAGATCCTTGTGTTCGAAATACTAGCCTTAACGAAGAGAAAGTAAAGAAAATTAAATTACAGACTCTATAAAGATGGAACTAATTTGTGCTAAAGTAAGAGAATTTGTATCTTATAGGTAACGATCTCCTGATTCTGATCCTTTTTTTGCAATTAAGAAAGTTAAGTATGAGCCAAAGCAAATTGGTTTAAAATTGACATAGACCATTATTTCCACGTTACCCAGAGAATCCATCCATTTCCGATTAGACTAATGATTAGCATACTTATGTTATAGAAAGCATTCTAAGTTCTTACTATTATCTAAGCACGGACAAACATTCAGAAAACATAGTTTCTTTTTAAACTTCTCAATTCACGTTAAGTAGAAGGTTTTGTCTACCTACCTGTCTTCTTACTATTTACTACTACTACTACTACGTGCCTACTTAACTACTTACCCAGTAATTACCTGCTTATTTGGTTGTTTGGTAATTAAGTTAATGACATTAGTCTATTAGTCTTGTGTGAAATTTAGAAGAATATCGGAAATCGAAGGTAAGGCAGTCATTGGTGAGCCCAAAACTTAACCAATCTAATTCGTTGAATGAAATAAAAATGTAATATGAAATGGTTGACCATATGAATTGAAATCAATGCGTACTTGGATGAGAGGAGCGCATCGTAAGCGCTGATTTCCAAGCATAGTTTCGAGTGGTTACCGTACAAAAATGGACTTGGTATGAAAGAAGAAAAACAACGTCCATTGCTAAGGAACACAACCATGTGAGAACTTATGAAAAAAACTTTTATCAAAACAGATGCAAGGAAAATATCGAGTATTGAAAAGTCGATATTTGACATATAACCCCGAATTCAGTATACCGACGGTACACGACCAAGAACGAAACTACAACGGTAAGATAACGGATGGCAAATCACGGATGTTCAAAATTGGATTTTTGGTGAGCACTGATGTCAATACCTCATGAGTTGTTCACTCATGCTGAAAGGAGAGAATATTAACTTGGCGCATGAAAATAAGACCACGCGATCTATTTCAAGCCCATTAGACAAAATTCACATAGAAAGATTTCATAAAGCAAAAGGTCTCCAGCAGGGTATCTGTTTTCAACGACCTTGTATCCTTAGCACTTTTATTTACTGCAGTCCCGTTTTCATATTATTATTCAAATTCGTATTACTGTATCTATGATATAGAGAACCGTGCAGCGCAGTAGTAGTGATGCCGTTCATTAGGTGAACGATCTAACTTATCCAGACGCTTCTATGAGTCCACAGCGGGCTCACCAACCCTCTGTTCCTCTCGGAGATCAGAAATTGGTAACAGACCTGTCTCAGACGAGCTAAGTGCCTCTTATCCAAGTTGAAACGCCTTAGTATGGTTATCTGAGGATTCCAAGAAGATCGCTTTTATTTACTGCAGTCGACTCGACTAGCATTCACCCGTAGTCGTAATGAAAATGTAAAATTCTTCAAGAGCAGTCGAAACCGCACGCAGAAAAAGTTCGAAGACATGAAAAACCTACTTTATGCAAATATCAACATCAATAAACAATATATACAATTCTCACAAAATTCCCTTGTTGAACTGACGCGAGGATGACAGCAGTTGACGTTGTCATTGCTGCTGTGATTTGATGGCTAACGTTTCGGCGACTTCACTTTCCTCAGAGTCTGGCCGTATTCTATGTAACGCTATTCACATAACGTTTACTTTTTATTTACTGCCTACTATAATTCTTCACGGCACGGTATTATGTGAAATGCAACCACAATGATGCTGAGACATTTGCGAAATCTAGACTTCTGACCAGATCGAATTGCGATTACCCTTTCCGGGGGCTCACGTGTTACACACTGCACCACTGAGGCCCTTGCTTTGCCTTGCTCTCAGCTAGTTTTCAATCTAACAGTGCCATCAGTAATTGTAAAGTTTTGTAAATACTTCAGCACCATTGTGGTTGCATTCAACTTAATACGCTGCAAGAAAAATTGTAGCAGGCAGTAAATAAAAAGCTAACATTGTGATTTCGACTACAGCATCAGCTTAACTGAGCGTTCAATGTCGATTTGTGCTTCACAGATCAATACCGTTGACGAGTGATTGCTGATGGCACTGTTAGATAGAAAACCAGCCAAGATAAAGGAAAAATAAGGGCATCAGTGATGCAGTGTGTAACACGTGAGCTCCCGGAAAGCGTAATCGTGGTTCGAACTGGACTGGGCTCCAAATTTTACAAAGTTTTATTGTAAAGTTAAAGTTCTACAAAGTTTTATAGTTTTTCAAGTATGCTGCACCTGAACTCATGCACGCCCAATCTCTAACGTGAGGACAGTTTACCCAATTTCCTAAGCTCTACGAACGATCAAACAGACGGTTACGAACTAAGTGACGGCGTAGGATATTGAGTGGGACGACAATAACTGCCATATAATTTTCAAGTCCGATTTTTCTTAAACACCTCTTAATGGAGTAACTTATTTCGTTTGATATGAAGGGTAGCTTCAAAGAGATCTTACTTAGGTTCGAAACATTATTTTGGGGAACGATCCTACCTTTTGGTCTGACCCGAGTGGTTTCTGCTTCGTACCCATTGGAAATGGCTATTTTTCGTGCCAGGTTTAGCGATTCCCCCTATCCTTTTCTCCTGTGCACACATTTTTAGCTGTTCGGTACACGTTTCTGATGCGCGCTTTTTCCATGAGTGAAAGATGAGAGGAGAGGTAGTGCACTAGTATATTTTTACTATCAGCTTTTCGATACCATTTTGTGACGTAGCCACTTTTTGAAAGCCTTATTTGAATCTTTAATAATGGAAGACAGTTTCTGGAAGGCTATTTTTGGCGTAAGTTTTATACCCACTTAGTGTTTAGTTAACAGTCCAAAGCACTTCAATAAAGTCTCCATTCGTCCCTGTCAGTCCCACACTTGCCTATTGCGTTCTGTTCATTTCGGATTCTTTTGACACGTTCAAGTTTCCCATAAGTATGTTAAGGCACCGAGAACCGCTGACATGAAAAAGTGAACATGGAGCCGCTCGCTCTTTGTCAATTTTTAGTGCACCGTTGATAGTCTCTTCAAAATTTCCACTTCATAATGCTCAGTTCTAGATCCAAACTGTTCATTGATAATTTCTTAACCTAACTACAATATGAGCGTCAACTAGAAAAAGCGAAGATAAAAAATACGACTCCTTGGCTCCATAAAATCAGAATTCTATCTTGATAGAATAAGGAAACTTGGGTCCACAATGACTTGCAGATTCATAAGGTTAAGGACCTCATCACAGTTAATGAGTTTGCTCTGAGCTAAGATATACTTGATTACAGTGGGAAGCGGTGAATATTTCCCTACTATACGCATTGAAATAAATTCAAAAACTCCCTTGTGTTTCAAATAACTCACTCTGCGACAGTCGACGGTTAAATGAACGCGGAAGACAAATTGTTCCTGAAGAGGCGACTGCCAACCAACTGCCGGAGGTGTCGTTCTGAAGAGAGGTTGAACTTTTTCCATTAACAATCTCACCTTCTAATCCTTAATATGATTACTTAAAAACTAAAGAACAATAAGTTGTACCTAAAACACCCATAGAATTTTTAAAGAGAATGGTGCAAAACTTCTCTCCTGCAAAACAAGGAGGATGTTGTTTCTATTTATCATAGGTTCTACCATTCAACAGCGTATTTGTCACTTTTTTTCTCCCTAAAGGCCATTCATCATCACATCCCGAGCAACCAACTATTATCAATTACTACAATGGGTATAATTAATCCACTGCATGAACAAGCATGAAAGGAATGATAGAAATGGGCGTGATCCAGAAATATTCCAAACAAAACGGAAACGTCAAAAAACAACCACAGATGTCTTATAGATACAACGTCCCATGTCCAATTCGTTTATACCAATAAAGCTCTCGGCGTTGATCAATCTCTGAGGATGCGCCATGCATTCGCACTTCATTAAGCATCGTTTGAAGGTGATTGAATATACGGCCCTTATAGCGACTCGCTGTTGCCTATAGATGTATCGAGACAGTGCTACTATCCTAGAAAACAAATCTGGTACCAATTTGCCGACCCCGACCCCGACCCCGGAGGTATGGAAGGCTTGGCGGGTCATAGGCGTAGAGATCGATTCCACCTGTGTGTCACAAGGCGCCTCCGACCATTGCGCCACACGCGGCCTTTATAGTCACGCCAATCACCTGTATCACCTATAGCCCTGTTGATCGTCGAATGACTCCAGCGGGAGCCAGTAAATCTTCCATTTTTCATTGTTGCGTACAGTAGCTCAGTGAGTTCTGCTCGCTCTAGCGCACCATCAAGCATCATACCTTTCTTCAAGGCTCTTTGTGAAGAACTCTGACCATCGGGTCAATGGTCCTCCTGCAGTACGTTTGACATCCCAAGGAATCCAGTCACTAACGGCTCTTGTCCACCAGTTGCCATTCATACGCATTATGTGTCCAGCCTACTTTATCTTCAACTGTTTGGCATGCAGAACGGCATCTTTGATTTTCGATCGTTGACGCAGATGGGAGCTTCGAATCCCATCCCTTACTTGTGTGGAACGGGATACTCCTAGCATCGTCCTTTCGACTGTGCGTGCGATAACGCTGAGTGACCTTTCATCATGCTTACGCAACGACCAAGTTTCTGACGCATACGATAGGGCAGGAAGTACCATTGAGTCGAAAAGGTGGCCATGGAGTAGAGTGTTCTTTGTTCTCTTCACTACACCTTCGATGCTCTTGAAAGCTCCCCAAGCCACTCGTTTCCTTCTGTTCAGTTCTGGAGCTAAGTCGTTCAACATTTTGATTTCCCAACCCAGATAGAAGTTAACTGGAGCATTCGGACATATTCATCCCGTTGTCCGTGAATAGGGTATACGTAACCAATCCGTTCCTCATGAAC